TGTACAAAATGAAGCTTATAATTTTATTTCAATGGACCATTTTACAGTTGCAGGTGAAAACAAGGTTGGAGTCTACCTTGTATTGGTATACCCTTGCTGCTTATTATGTTGGTTTTCTGCAAACTAGTATTTTTAAGCATAATTTCCATAAGAAAAGGAAGCAGGTTTGTATCAAAACACGGTCAAACTCACCTTAATTCTCATTCACTGGAAGACTACTGGTTATTAAGCCCACAACTGTAATATGGTGTATTTGGATTTTGACTACCTTTGGCAGTGAACATATAAACAAAACACCATAGCACTATTTTAATTATTGAGGGAATGGCACTACAATGAGGGAATGGCACTACAATGAAGTTTAATAATAGTACAGTAAAAACCAAAATGCATGTAAAAGTAGTGGTTTACTTAAAAAACCCTCCCTTCTAGTAGAAATGGTTCATTTTAAAAAAAACAAAAACACCAGAATCTACACGTTTTAACTCAAAAAAGACAAAGCACGTTATTATATGATTAACTTTCCAACCAGAGAGAACTAAGGATTTTAGGAGCAAACACATTAATTATTTTTCTGGTGCTTGAAGACTACATCTCTTTAATAAAATGGATCTAATTAATTTAATTAAATCTACTGCATGTATGCGTAAATATTGCCAATAACCATCGAAAGTACAAAAAACCTTTTTTGGCATACTGTCAACTCCCTTTATAGGGGAAAATGTAGGCGGCTTGAGTTAGTGTCCTCATTAGTGAGAGTCTGTATCAGTGGGAGTTAATTATAGTCAAACTTCTGTAATTTATTTTTGCTTCGGATTAAGCTACTGTCCGTATCATCAGGGTCTCAGTTTTGAGTTATAGCGAGGTGTCCACAAGGCAAGAGTTCACTGTATTTCCAAAAGTAGGTTCATCAAACATGCAGGTTTTACTGTAAGTTAAATAGAGTAAGCAGATTTAACAAAACGATATTACTACAATGAAATTATTCCAAGCACTTACTTTTTGCCTGAGGAAATGGCTCTTTCAGCTTTTGGAGTAATAACCCATTCAACACAAGCCCTTAGCCCAACATCAATTTAAGAGCATGTATATTTGTTAGGCCTCGCCACATAGTAGACCCTTGTCCACACAGGTTGATTACAGCAACGGCCTGTTCATTTTTTATGCATGGCCACACAGGCCCTCAGCCACACAGGCTGATTACAGCATAACAACACTTTTATTTGTTATCCATGGCCACAAAGGCCCTCAGCCACACAGGCTGATTACAGCATAATAACACTTCTATTTGTTATGCATGGCCCCAAAGGCCCTCAGCCACATAGGCTGATTATACAGCATAACGGCACTTTTATTTGTTATGCATGGCCACAAAAGCCCTCTGCCACACAGGCTGATTACAGCATAACTGCACTGTTATTGGCCATGCTTGGATATCATTCATTACAACATAGGCATTAGGGCAAATGTCTTGAAGATAAATTATGATTGCAAACAAGACACCACCATGCTAAGGCCTTCATCTCTGAAACAATTATTACATTTGTCGACAGTAGACCACACGTTTCAATGACGATCTTGAGACTGAGCCCACTCTACGAGTCTGAGAAATGTTTCCTCCCTATATGCTGGGGCTAACACCCTTCTCTGTCGACTCTGAGTTGCTAAGACATGCAGTCTCTCAATCTCCACTGCTCTAGCTCTTGTAGTTGGAGTGTCCACAGGTCTGAATCTGTCATTGTTTATCAGAACATCCTCATGAAAAGCAAAATCAGGATCTCTTCCTTCCCCACCTGCCGATTTTGCTCTTGACAATGCCACAAATAGAGCTCCTGGGTTTCTGGCTTCAAAGCCATGGTCCCCAGGGTGAACCACTACATACCTGAATGCTTCTCCGGTGCCCACAGTCATCCCTTG